AAGTAGAACACTTCAAGTCCAATAGTTTTTTACCTGTTAGAGGTACTTTCTGAGATAAAGCGTGGGTCATTGGTTGTCGTGCTAAATTGTGGATCTGAAGTCTGTAGTCCGCTTCTCGTTAACACCAAAAAAAATCACGCTTTACATTGTGGGGCCGTGAGTGCGTTATAAGTGTGACGTTCAAATCCCTAGTATTCGGTCTAAGACTTAGCATTGGGTGATGTCCAGTAGCTGCCTTCCCTCTCATATATTTATTTTCAATAAACAAACAAACAAATATATTTCCTGAAAGAGAACATTTCGTATCACAAGTTTTGTCTTACATTGACAGCTGAAGAAGATGCAGCGTAAACAGCAACAACAACAGCAAAAACAAGAACAGCACAATTCTCAGAAACAACAAAGAACTAATCAGTCAAACGGTGGCGTTGCCATCGAAGGCAATAATTCTGTGAAGGATGGTAAGTTCCTAAAATATGAAAATACTGTTTACATCACTTATGAGAAACAGTTGTTTTTGGAGTTGTTCAGCTGATAAGTAACCATTATTAAAGTTTGTTTAAAGATATATGTAGGATTAAAAATCCAGAACATTTTATAAACAAGTTTATAAAAAAGTAAAACATTTCAAAAGTAAATACTTTTTTCAGGAGTTCACATGAATAATTTGTATTTAGTTAACGTAGCTATGATTTCCTTTAGTTAAAGTAAGTAATGCTTCCTTGAGCTAACGTAACTACTGGTTCCCTGAGCTAACATAACTAATGTTTTCTTGAGCTAAAGTAACTGATGTTTCCTTGAACTGAAATAAAATTTCGTTTTTGTTGCATTCAAGGGAAGATTTACAGTTACGTAAAAACAGTTTGTTTCTTGAGTTAATCCATAGAAACTTATAAATCCTTTCATTTTAAGATTTCTCATACAGTTTAATAAGAGCTTATTAATACCCAGCTTGTTAATAATGAACATATATTGTGAAACTAATGTGCTTTTTCCGCTCTTTATTACTTTTTTACTTCAACTTTTGTCCATCAAAAATGATTCATAAAGTACAGTTTCCACTCTTAGTAATAAAAAGAAAAAATTGTCTTATTTACACAGGTTCTCCATATTCCCGTCTTGGCTCTCTAACTGACTCTCCACCAGATGGCTCTCAGTTTTCACTTCCTCCAGTAAGTTATCATGCCTCTGCAAATGAAGGTATGTTGCTAGTGTATTTGGAAAAAAAAGAGACCTTTGTTTCCTTAAACTTATAGATTTTCTATTTAAATTTGGAGTCGCAGTTTTCAACTGATTGATTTAGATGAAGCGCAAATGTAGGCTTGAATAATAGTAAATGTTGAGACTGAACTATTAAAATTAAATGTTCCTATTTGTAGCCAAATTAATGGATTTAACAACTAATAAGTTGTACATGAAGTATCTTAGGTGATATTCTGTAGTGAATGTATAATGAATGGACTTTGATAATCATGGAATACATAAAACTATCTTTTAAACAAACTTCAGTCCGATTTAGGATTTACGGATTGAGTTTCTCTTCTTCCATTCCAGGTCAGTATTTTCAAGGCACAGCTGACACTTACATGAAATCTGAAATTAGTTTAGAGAACGAGGCTAGTCTCAGTGGGCTAGAAGAGGTCCTTATTGGTCAAAATCAGCCGCCATCTTTGAACGATTCATCCCAACTTTTCTCAGCTACCATTAATCCCATTGATAAACTGTATTCAATGCATTCGTCATATTTCAGCGCCACTGACTGTGAGTGCCTTGGAACGAACAGCTAAATTGCTTCGTATCGCAAGAAGAAAGCAGAAAACGTGAATTATTTTAAATCCCTCAGAGTCCTTGCTGTCTATTTAAGATTACAGATCGAGCATCACCGCCCTCTATCGAGCTTTTTGACCACAAGTTAATTAAACAACGGAACTGTTTCGATTCTGTGTGAAGAGGAAAAAAAGACAAAGTGAGAGAAATATCTGGACCAAATTAAAGACCATTCAGAACTACTAAGAGATTTTTATAAGGCTAAAGTTCGGGACTCGATCCCCACGGAGGACACAGTGCAGATAGTCCATTGTCTTGAAGGTTACGTCAGTATTTTCACCTGAGTACATGTGGTTTTTCACCCAAGATCTGTTTTACGTCAAATACAAAAAATTTTTTACAGCATCACGTTTTTGCCATTTCTGTCAGATATCTTTGAGATATTTTGCCTTTTGTTCTTGTTTTTTCTAAAAATAATGATATTTATTTAAACGTACTGTTCACTTTACTGTGTTTTTATTATGTTCGAAAATTTTTATTCTAGTCATGGGAGTTGTTTTTATGACTTTTGTGTTGAAAGTGCTTGCATTCCTTTTTTGTCACTGATGTAGTTTATTTTGTTTTTAAAAAATATGTGCAAAATGATCTGATTCTGTATGTTGTAATTTTTATTTCTACGAGAACTCAAAAAAACAAACAAAAACTTCAGTCTCAGTTCTGGTAAATCAGCAACAAATAACAAGGCTAGTTTCGTTATTGTGACACAGATTTGAAATTTCTGACAATTATCTAAACTTATCAACAAAAGGGTGAGCGTAGATAGCCCAAGTGTTTGCGGCGGATGGTGTGGACTGTCTATCTATCTGCCTTATGCCTCTTTTATCAATTTAAAATTCGGGAAGGATAGCACAGATAGTCCTTGTATAGCTGTGCGTGAATATCCAAAACAAATAACCTTTGATATTTTAAAACAATCTTCTTAACAAAGAGACTAGAGTGTAGGTGCTACACTTTCTATATTAAAAAACTTAATTATAATTAAAAGAACTTCGCTTGTAACAAACTAGTAACTGGTTAAACTGAATCGGTTAAGAAATTGTACGTGGTACTTTGTGTCGGATAAAGACAGAAAAACAAGTTAGAGGAATTAGAAGGTAACTCGACAAATTGTTACTAAGGGATTAAAAAAAAACATTCGGTTTCTGTACAAATAAGTGATTTCCATGTAAATACCCATTACCCAACACAAGTGGTTCCATGTAAATACCCATTACATAACAAAAGTGATTTCCATGTAAATACAAACTACCCAACAGAAGTGATTTCCTTGCAAATACCCATTACACAACAAAAGTGGTTCCATGTAAATAACCATTACCCAACAGAAGTGGTTTTCCATGTAAATACCCATTACACAACAAAAGTGGTTCCATGTAAATACCCATTACCCAACAGAAGTGGTTTTCCATGTAAATACCCATTACCCAACGAAAGAAAAATAAATCAAGTTTATTCTGTTTACCAATTAAACGCTACAAAATCGTGCGCGTCTATACTTCTTCATATATTAAAAAGAAGACGTTGTTATTTTAGGATTGTTCTTAATATTTATCAGTTCGAGAAATATGAAAATTTTCAAACTTGTTTACACTAATCGACTTGTTCAGTGATACACATCCCAGCTCACGAGTGAATTTTGTTCCCCAACTTGTAATTATCAGTGCTACTAATAGTCCAGCCTTAACTTTATGTTTGCCTCAGAAAGTTCAGAATTTAAGTGAAAGCGACATTAAAAACCCGTTAAATTAGCATGCTTCTTGGTCGAGGGTTATGTTACTTACTGACTGACGATTCATGGTTCTGTATATACTCTCGTTCACTTCACCAGATGTTCAGCAAACTCGGCTACTCTCGCCACCGTTGCTATATTGTATAAAGACATAAAATTTCTTTTTGCATCTCTAGAACTCTGTGTTAAAACCAAAGAGAACTAATTACTGTGACGATAGTAGTTGTTATTAAAATGTGTTACAATAAAGCAAACTTATTTATCATCTGACCTCGCGCGTAAAAATATTTAGGTTAGATATCAGATAATATACAGTAATAAACTGTACTTGTACCACTTTCTCAGATATCATACAGTAATAAACTGTACTTGTACCACTTTCTCAGATATCATACAGTAATAAACTGTACTTG